GGTCCTGACACCACATCCTACCTAGACTAACTCCTCGAATTGAACATATAAGGGACTTTTTAGATGTCTTCCTCTTTGAAATGTCCTCCGTGAGATCCTGGACCTCTCTTTTTCTCTTACTTTCATTTATTTGGAATGAGCATTGCGTGTAAGTTGGGGTCATGTGTAGTGAACTGCTCTATGCACACTGCAGATCCCATAGTCCATAGTCCTGGTCCATCTTGGGAGGGAGTAAGAGAGAGTTGCTACATTCCTAAATACAGTGGGACCACGGTTAATGAACCTAGCCACCCACTAACAGGAATTTACATTGCAGCAACCAAAAAAATACAAAAAGGAATTTTGAGATTTGAAGGCGATTGAGAGCCATAGAAGGGACTTTTATGAGTTTTTTAACCACTTGCCTACAGGGCACTTTTACCCCCTTCCTGCCCAGGCCAATTTTCAGCTTTCAGTGCTCTTGCACTTTGAATGACAATTGCGCAGTCATGCAACATTGTACCCATATGAAATTTTTTTCATTTTTTCACACAAGTAGAGCTTTCTTTTGGTGGAATTTAATCATCACTGGGTGTTTTATTTTTTGCTAAACAAATGCAAAAAGACAAAATTGTGGGGAAAAAAAACGTTTTTCATAGTTTCTATTATAAAATTTTGCAAAGAGTTGATTTCTCTCCTTCACTGATGTGCGTTGATGAGGCTGCACTGATAGGCACTGATAGGCTGCCCTGATGGGCACTGATAAGCTGCACTGAAGGGCACTAATAGGCTGCACTGGTGGGCACTGATAAGACAGCACTGATGGGCACTGATAGGCTGCACTGATGGGCAATGATAGGCTGTACTGGTGGATACTAATGAGGCAGCACTGATAGGCAGCACTGATGAGGCAGCACTGATGAGCACTGATGAGGCAGCACTGATGGGCACTGACGAGGCTGCACTGTTGAGGCGGCACTAATAGGCATTGATGAGGAGGCACTGCTGAGGCTGCACTGATATGCAGCACTAATGGGCTCTGATAGGCGGCAATGATGGGCACTGATAAGCGGCAATGATGGGCACTAATTATCTCTGATTATCAGTGTTGATGTCTCCTTTCACACTTGCTGGTTAGCAGAAGTACTGCAGATAACCGGCAAGTGTGTTTACATCGTGATCAACTCTGATTGGACACAGCTTATCACGTGGTACAGGGCCTCTGTGATTGGCCCTTTACCATGACATGTTCAGCTGATCAGCAGAAGGACAAAGCGATTACAGAGAGCATCCGGTGCAAGTCGCAGCGGGGAAGCGGGGGGTGCGCTTCTGGGAGGATATCATATGATATCCTCCCAGAACTAGAAAGTGGTTAAACCAGGCGCAGGTAACATCTTTATATACATTTTAAGTGATAATAAACCCAGGCTCTTTAATTTACATTATCCCTTCTCTTTCTGTATATGGATGATGGCACCTAATCGATATCCAGCTGTCACATGACCCAGCTCTTTCCCAGCCTGTCTGCAGGGGAACATAAGTAGGAGGAGCTTCTAGTCCTCTGCTAATGCTCACAGGTTCAAAAAAGAAAAAAAAACAGCCTTTGGAATACTGAGTAAAAATAAATAACTAATATCAATAAACTGTTTCAAATCGACATCCAAATATATATTTGAAATCAAATTTTGATTATTGTTTGGTAATAACATGGTGTGGACGGATTTCTGCCAGTCACAGTCTGTGTTTTAGAATAAGAGGGAGGTGAAACCTCCATCAATCAAGATGTAATAGCCCATCCCCATTGTGCTTATCTGGTTAGTGGGCATGGAGGGGGTAGGAAGGGAGTGGGCTGTCATTTACCACTGTGTATACGCCCACATGTGTCATATAGGTTGCTCAGATGTGATAGAAACTCTTAGTGTAGAAACTCATGGAAAACTGAGCATGTGCGGCATTGCCCACACTGCTCTGTTAAATGCCTAGCTGATTTGGGGACACAGACAGGAGGGAGAGATGGACAACAGCAGGAGCATGGACAGAATGGAAGACAGCATTTATTGATATTTTTATGATGTGGGTTTAGTGACACTTATAAGCAAAATATATAAAAGTTAAAATTGGTGACATCAGATCTGGAATCTGCCATCACAGGCACTGAGCTCCACAATACCTGTGTGATGCCATTTGATATAAACACAGATACCTTTGCTGACTTGCAGGCCCAGGGTTGCAAAGTAAATGAAACATCGGCATCTCTTGTTTTCATCATCTGTGGAAATATTTATTTATTTCAGGTACTTATATAGCGCTGTCAGTTTATGCCGCACTTTACATACATATTGTACATCACATCAGTCCCTAACCCTCAAGGGGCCTAACTCACATTCAGTCCCTAACTCACATTCATACATACACATACTAGGGACAATTTAGACAGGAGCCAACCAGTATGTCTTTAGAGTGTGGGAGGAAACCCACACAGGCACAGGGAGAGCATGCAAACTCCAGGCAGGTGGTACTGTGGTTGGGATTTGAACCAACAACCCTAGTACTGCCAAGCGGAAGTGTTGACCATTTAGCCACTGTGCTGCCCAAAATAGATCACTTTATGGTATATTTATACTTGCGAATGGAGCCGTTTGCGATCACCCACAGACTGTCTGCCTCCAGGGCCAATCATCCACAGATAATCGCTCCATAAGCAATTACATACAAATGGCTGCGAATAGCTGCAGGCACTAACAGGTACCCATTGTTTTATTGAACAGCATGGAATATCTCCTAAATATGCACCGTTTAGGATATATTCAGTGTCCCTGCAGCCGATGACGTCAGCGGCGCAAGCACTCTGAATGAACAGCATACCCGTGCCATTCCTTCAGAGCTCTGTGCGCAGCCGAGGCTCCAGCATGCATGCGCAGGAGTGACATCACTGGGGCTCAGCCATTCAAGTGGCCAGAGCCCGCGAACCTGGAAGGAAGACCAGGTAAAGCCCTGTCAGTGGTGGTTCTAAGTGTAGCACTACTCCCTTTGGAGTCGCTAGAGATTTGGGTTCCCTATAGTCCTGCACAGCCAGGTGACATGCATTTCCTTCACTCAGACTTGCACCAGTAACCAGTCCCTGATGGGATTTAGAACATGGATGGGGTAAGGGGTATATGGGATGCCCAAGGGGAATGGCAACCGAGGACAAAACATCTTAGCAACTATGTACAAGTCTTTACAGCAAAGTCACTCTTCTGGAGAGCTAGCCAGCATCTCCTAATGTACCTCTCCAACCCCAGATGCTCCTCAATCCGGCTGTATGGAGGAATCCCTGGACAGGGGATCCAGTAGTAACAACTAGAAGGGCAATAATCCCAGCTGTAGAGTGTTAGGTTTCCCACCCAACTGCTCTCTCCCCTTTGTGGACCAGGGGGTGTAGGTGTACTCACTGAGTCCTTCTACCATGCTGCTGTGGGGTCGGTGGCTGCTACCAGGCCTTTAAGCTGGGCCGCTCCTTCCTTGCTTCCAGGTGGTGTTCTCTGAGGGGGCCAGTGAAGTCCACAGCTTTGCTACTTTTAGACATCGCTCCTGGAGGTGAACCCCTTCCAGCCTGGGCTCCCTCCCAGGCTCCTGCACCTCAACCTCTCTTCTCTGTGTATTGCTAGAAAGGTTTTTTTTTTCCTTGGGAGAGTGCATGTGATCAGCACAGGGCCAATCAGCACTGTTCAGACAGAGGTCAGGGGTTCTGCATCCTCCTAGAGCAGAAAGAAAACTCCTCTTACAGGCTTTAACCACTGCTCAGCTGAAGTCACAAGACTGCTCTAACTGCTGAGGAGAAAAGGTATTTAACAGTTTAGATTTACTACAACAATTGCATTTCCATGTTCTGTGTACTATGAGAGACCAGATATAGTGAATGCAGGGTCCAGGGAGACCAGATATAGTGAATGCAGGGTCCGGGGAGACCAGATATAGTGAATGCAGGGTCCGGGGAGACCAGATATAGTGAATGCAGGGTCCTGGGGAGACCAGATATAGTGAATGCAGGGTCCTGGGGAGACCAGATATAGTGAATGCAGGGTCCGGGGAGACCAGATATAGAGAATGCAGGGTCCGGGGGAGACCAGATATAGTGAATGCAGGGTCCGGGGAGACCAGATATAGAGAATGCAGGGTCCGGGGGAGACCAGATATAGTGAATGCAGGGTCCTGGGGAGACCAGATATAGTGAATGCAGGGTCCGGGGAGACCAGATATAGTGAATGCAGGGTCCGAGGAGACCAGATATAGTGAATGCAGGGTCCTGGGGAGACCAGATATAGTGAATGCAGGGTCCTGGGGAGACCAGATATAGTGAATGCAGGGTCCGGGGAGACCAGATATAGTGAATGCAGGGTCCTGGGGAGACCAGATATAGTGAATGCAGGGTCTGGGGAGACCAGATATAGTGAATGCAGGGTCCTAGGGAGACCAGATATAGTGAATGCAGGGTCCGGGGGAGACCAGATATAGTGAATTCAGGGTCCCGGGGAGACCAGATATAGTGAATGCAGGGTCCGGGGGAGACCAGATATAGTGAATTCAGGGTCCCGGGGAGACCAGATATAGTGAATGCAGGGTCCGGGGAGACCAGATATAGTGAATGCAGGGTCCTGGGGAGACCAGATATAGTGAATGCAGGGTCTGGGGAGACCAGATATAGTGAATGCAGGGTCCTAGGGAGACCAGATATAGTGAATGCAGGGTTCGGGGACACCAGATATAGTGAATGCAGGGTCCGGGGAGAGCGGATATAGTGAATACAGGGTCCTGGGGAGACCAGATATAGTGAATGCAGGGTCTGGGGAGACCAGATATAGTGAATGCAGGGTCCAGGGAGACCGGATATAGTGAATGCAGGGTCCGGGGAGACCAGATATAGTGAAAGCAGGGTCCGTGGAGACCAGATATAGTGAATGCAGGGTCAAGGGAGACCAGATATAGTGAATGCAGGGTCCGGGGAGACCAGATATAATGAATGCAGGGTCCAGGGAGACCAGATATAGTGAATGCAGGGTCCGGGGAGACCAGATATAGTGAATGCAGGGTCCGGGGAGACCAGATATAGTGAATGCAGGGTCCGGGGAGACCAGATATAGTGAATGCAGGGTCCTGGGAGACCAGATATAGTGAATGCAGGGTCCTGGGGAGACCAGATATAGTGAATGCAGGGTCCTGGGGAGACCGGATATAGTGAATGCAGGGTCCGGGGAGACCGGATATGGTGAATGCAGGGTCCTGGGAGACTGGATATGGTGAATGCAGGGCCCTAGGAGACAGGATATAGTGAATGAAGGGTCCGGGGAGACCAGATATAGTGAATGCAGGGTCCTGGGGAGACCAGATATAGTGAATGCAGGGTCCGGGGAGACCAGATATAGTGAATGCAGGGTCCGGGGAGACCAGATATAGTGAATGCAGGGTCCGGGGAGACCAGATATAGTGAATGCAGGGTCCTGGGGAGACCAGATATAGTGAATGCAGGGTCCGGAGAGACCAGATATAGTGAATGCAGGGTCCGGGGAGAGCAGATATAGTGAATGCAGGGTCTGGGGAAACCAGATATAGTGAATGCAGGGTCCGGGGAGACCAGATATAGTGAATGCAGGGTCCGGGGAGACCAGATATGGTGAATGCAGGGTCCGGGGAGACCAGATATAGTGAATGCAGGGTCCGGGGAGACCAGATATGGTGAATGCAGGGTCCGGGGTTTAGTAACACTTTAAGCTGTTTGTGAATGGTGCCCAGTAAGCAGGTGACCATACTGTCCAGACAGACCGGGTCTAAGGAGCAATGTCCCTGAATAAAGCGGCATTTGCAACAGAACACCAATGACAAATAACACATTAAAATATGCTTCTATAAAACAGTGGCCATGATTCAGGTAAAACAGTCAGGTTATAGCGAGGTAGAACAAATGAAATGAGGAATTTCTCCCCTAGCTTTGCACCATAGAAGCAGGTGTCCCTGATGAAGCCTATTAAGCCTGAAACAGGACAAAAAGTGTTCTTCAAGCCTCGCACCATAAAAATCTTTTTAGAAAGATTAGGCTGTGTTTTTTTATGTTTTCTGCTCGAGTTTGTTAGAAAAAAAGAGTGTTAATGAATGACGTAAAGGTAAGTGATGGTCAAGGTAAGTACTATTGGTACATAATTACATGACTGTGTTTGGGTGGCATGCATTCCTGTGTCGCCCTTCTGTGTCCTCGGTACCAGGCAGTCACAACCAGTCACCTAATGACACAATCAGCTCATTGTGCCTCTGAGTGACACAGGACAAGTCAAGGTGAAAGAAGCAGAGAGTGAGAAGGAGAGAAGACAGGTAAGAGCACTGAGTTCTCTGGGTGTTGGTGGGCGAAGGGCTTCATATGGAGGGGCAGGGTGCTGAATACGGGGCAGATGGTGGGTCTTGTCATTAGAGAGACCGTTGTATAAGCGTCATCAGCTATGGCAAGTGTGGGGAAACACTGAGTGGTGAGAGAGTGGGGAGCAGTGATGGAGTGCTGAGAGAGTGGGGGAGCAGTGATGGAGTGCTGAGAGAGTGGGGAGCAGTGATAGAGTAATGAGAGAGTGGGGAGCAGTGATGGAGTGCTGAGAGAGTGGGGAGCAGTGATAGAGTAATGAGAGAGTGGGGAGCAATGATAGAGTAATGAGAGAGTGGGGAGCAATGATAGAGTAATGAGAGAGTGGGGAGCAATGATAGAATACTGAGAGAGTGAAGAGCAGTGATCGAGTACTGGGGGTGTGGGGAGCAGTGATAGAGTAATGAGAGAGTGGGGAGCAGTGATAGAGTGCTGAGAAGGTGGGGAGCAGTGATAGAGTGCTGAGAGAGTGGGGAGCAGTGATAGAGTGCTGAGAAAGTGCGGAGCAGTGATAGAGTGCTGAGAGAGTGGGGAGCAGTGATAGAGTGCTGAGAGAGTGGGGAGAAGTGATAGAGTGCTGAGACAGTGGGGAGCAGTGATAGAGTACTGGGGGTGTGGGGAGCAGTGGTAGAGTACTGGGGGTGTGGGGAGCAATGATAGAGTAATGGGGGTGTGGGGAGCAGTGATAGAGTACTGGGGGTGTGGGAAGCAGTGATAGAGTACTGGGGAGGTAGGGAGCAGTGATAGAGTACTGGGGGTGTGGGGAGCAGTGGTAGAGTACTGGGGTTGTGGGGAGCAGTGGTAGAGTACTGGGGGTGTGGGGAGCAATGATAGAGTACTGGGGGTGTGGGGATCAGTGGTAGAGCACTGGGGGTGTGGGGATCAGTGGTAGAGTACTGGGTGTGTGGGGAGCAATGATAGAGTACTGGGGGTGTGGGAAGCAGTGATAAAGTACTGGGGAGGTGGGGAGTAGTGATAGAGTACTGGGGGTCTGGGGATCAGTGGTAGAGTACTGGGGGTGTGGGGATCAGTGATAGAGTACTGGGGATGTGGGGATCAGTGATAGAGTACTGGGGGTGTGGGAAGCAGTGATAGAGTACTGGGGAGGTGGGGAGCAGTGATAGAGTACAGGGGTGTGGGGAGCAGTGATAGAGTACTGGGGGTGTGGGGAGCAGGAGCAGTGATAGAGTACTGGGGGTGTGGGGAGCAGTGATAGAGTACTGGGGAGGTGGGAAGCAGTGATAGAGTACAGGGGTGTGGGGAGCAGTGATAGAGTACTGGGGGTGTGGGAAGCAGTGATAGAGTACTGGGGAGGTGGTGAGCAGTGATAGAGTACTGGGGAGGTGGTGAGCAGTGATAGAGTACTGGGGAGGTGGGGAGCAGTGATAGAGTACAGGGGTGTGGGGAGCAGTGATAGAGTACTGGGGGTGTGGGGAGCAGTGATAGAGTACAGGGGTGTGGGGAGCAGTGATAGAGTACTGGGGGTGTGGGAAGCAGTGATAGAGTACTGGGGAGGTGGTGAGCAGTGATAGAGTACTGGGGAGGTGGTGAGCAGTGATAGAGTACAGGGGTGTGGGGAGCAGTGATAGAGTACTGGGGGTGTGGGGAGCAGTGATAGAGTACTGGGGAGGTGGGGAGCAGTGATAGAGTACTGGGGGTGTGGGAAGCAGTGATAGAGTACTGGGGGTGTGGGGAGCAGTGATAGAGTACAGGGGTGTGGGGAGCAGTGATAGAGTACTGGGGATGTGGGGAGCAGTGATAGAGTACTGGGGAGGTGGGGAGCAGTGATAGAGTACTGGGGAGGTGGGGAGCAGTGATAGAGTACTGGGGAGGTGGGGAGCAGTGATAGAGTACTGGGGATGTGGGGAGCAGTGATGCAGTGCTGAGAGCATGGGGTGCAGTAATAGCAATCCCATTGTTAAGAGCTGAGATAGTGACAACAGTGTGATAACGTTTTGCGGGTGTAATGAGCCGTGACGGTAATAATAGGGTGAAGGAGCTAGACAGCGCAGAGCATGGAGAGCACTGACTGTAGTAATAGTATGGGGAGTAATAGTAGAGTAATAAGATAGTGGGGAGCATTGATGGGGTACTGAGACTATGATGTGTGATTGTGGGGGAGGGAATATTTGGTGCATTTAGCAGCACGGAAGATGAACACGTCAGTCAAGCTCAGAATGTGATGTTATGTAATGGCAGTTCAGTGATGTGATGTCCACTATATAGAGCTGAAAGACTTTATTGTATAGAAGAGTAGATACGTGGTTTAAGCCATTGCTATGGGTGCTGTTGGTAGGTACGTAAGGACACAACCAGGGGCGGACTGACCATTTGGAAACTCAGGCACTGCCCGAGGGCCCGGGGTCAGTAGGGGGCCCCTTGAGATGCCCCTGGTACCTTTTTCATAGGCTTTTTTGAGTTTAGGCAAGGACACAGGGGCCCCATGATCCCCTATTGCCCGGGGGCCCCATGAGTTGTCAGTCTATGGTTCATTCTTGGAGCAAGGTGATAGAATGTTACATGTCAGGGCTGCCAAGTTTTTGGTTAGACTCCAAGAATGGTATTTATTTAATATAAATATGTTTTCTCTTTATGTCCTGACTATGATGTGTGCTTATTACCATGTACTATAGAGAGGTCAGTATCGCTTGATGGGTGGCTTTGACAGCCCATTCCTTTACAATCTGCCATAGAGTCCCTAACAGAACCACTGGCTGTCGAGTGATTCTTGAACAGGCCAAAGGCTAGGCACGGGCAGGATTGCATAGTCCTTGGTAGAAGAAATAGCACAGCCCAAAACAGTCTATGTCCTCATTTCAAGATGGCTTCCTACACAATCCTACTCAAAGTCAATAACTGAAAAATGGCAGTTCCTGCCTCATCTTTCCAATACATACCACTCAATACAGTAGCTGTAGGGTCTCTGCACCCACGCCAATGTCACCAATCAACTTCAGTCTAGACTGTTACACAACACTAAACCCATCACAAGCTTTACATGCGTTCTTCACTCTTGGGAGCATCTTCCAACACTCAAGCATATGATGCAGCCAGCAGGATCATTAGGGGAGCCCCAGAAAACATGGATGTTCATCACTCATAGGTCCACCTAACTTCTTTAGGTTAAACTGTTTGCCAACAGTCAGTACTCTTGCAGGTTAGATAGAGCACCAAACCCTTCCTATACAACCCTCTCTAATAGAGCCAGCACACCCAACACATCCAGCAACATCACAGGGCTGAGGGCAGCAGGGGGAAATGTATGGTGTACAGGGAGGGTGAGGGGTGCACCGGGGTGGGGCAATTACTGGAACCGTTTCCCTGTATGACTTTCTTTGCAGCAGCTGAAAGCCAGCGGGAGGGAGAGGGAAAAAAAGCCAGCTTCCAGCTGCCGCAGAGAGAGCCACACAGGGGATCGGTTTCAGTAATTGCTCCCCACCATGACAATCACCCTCCCTGCCCAAATCTGATTCACCCAGCTGCCTGGGCCCCCCTGCTGGCCTGGGCCCCATACAGGAAGACTGGTGGTACCCCATTATCCATGGCCCTGGCTGGAAGTCTATTGTTGCTGAGGTGGTATTTTGCTGCGAGGGTCCATTGTTTCTGGGGGCATCTATTGTTGCTGGAGGGGGATCTATTGCTGCTGTCTGCATGGGATACAGTATATATTACTGCTTTTATTGTTATCATTAACAAATTCAATACAAATTAATTAGCACCACAAAATGATACTCGGTTCTGTATTCTCTAAAAGGAGCAGTACAGGGAGGTGGGTAGGGGTTTGAACCAAGGGCTGGATGGGGGGGGGGGGAGGGGACATAGAAAGAAGTGACTCAAAAGGGGGGGGTTCCTGTGCCTATTTTTTTTTTTTAGAACAAAGCCCTGGTCATTCCTCTTGCTAACAGTTATTGTGCATATTGGCTGTTGTATGTCCATTACTGCACTCTCCTGACATCGCTCTAGCAACCCCTAGATAGCAGCTGTGAAAACTCTGAAACTCTGTCTAAAAGTTATCTTTTTCTTCAAAAGTCTGATTTGCAGTCTGTGTTTGCGTTCAATGTGCCTGAACACTGTCTGATACAATGGTTCCACTAAATACATGTACAGCAAAAGTGAACTAGCCACATAAATATTTAACATGCATTTTCATGCTGTAAAACTCCATGTTTTACTGCATGAACATGGATGCGTCACTACGTTGGGCCCACACCTTAATCATATACTACATGAATCTGTTTCATTTGCCATAGTGGTGTCATATTTTACGGTTATACCTTATAGAGTCACCTTTGTAAAAGTACGCTTTCAATAAAGCTCTT